ATTCCCAAAGTACCATCTCTGGGCACAAAACCTTTCTACTTTCTCAGAAATAAATAATAAGAAACCCAAATAATAAACATTCTAGAAGGACACTGAACTCTTTCATCATTTTCTGACAGTTTACTTCTGTAACTAAGTTTTAAGAGCCATAGTCTATTTGTACCTTTGGCCCTTACTTTTAGAAAAATACTCCCGTATGTTATATTAGTTTGAATGGTTCAGACTTCAACTTTGTATTGCAGAAGCCTACTATAAATCAAGTTTTCCCTTCTGCTAGGTTGTATTATCTTTTTCCAGGTGAATTACTAATTAAGAAGGCTTTATAAAAATAAATTCAGATAGTGTTGTTGGTTATTGGTCATGGGTACAGAAAAGTATCATTCATTTAGATATGATTTTCTAATTACATAGTGTAAACTTTAGAGTTGTTTTAATAAGCAGCAGCAAAGATAAGACTTATTACAGTCCTGGCATGTATCATGGAAATAGCTGTGGGACACTAATAGAAGTATAAAGGGGCTTAACAAACAATGAGAGAAGGAGACCTGTGTGTGTGTGTGTGTGTGTGTGTGTGTGTGTGTGTGTGTGTGCACGTGCGCATGTATAAGACAGGGTGAGCAGCATCCAGATAACACCGCATAGTGGATGTTATGGACAGAAGTGGAGGGAACGCATTCTTCTCTTCAGTGTTTCAGCAGATCGTCAACATTTCTAATGCAGGAGGTTTATTTCTTTGAAGTTATGATATTGCCACAAAGCACTGTGAATATATAATCATTGTGCAGAAGACTCGGTGTTGAGGATTTATTAATGCTGCTTGCTGACATGGATAGAGTATTGGGGCATGTTGATGCTGAAGATCCTGTAACCGAAAGTTTCCAGGGGACCATATTTCCAAGTATGCCTACTGCTATTCTATTACTGGTGTGATACATTTCAACAAAGTTAGTGGCTTCTGCTGATACAGATTGATTTTTCTTACCCTCCTGTAGCTAGAAAAGCTCTGAGTATGCCTTGCTAGTTTAAGATCAAAATATTGCAAGGCTGTTTTTCTTTTAAGGCATCCAAAAGAGAATCTTTCCTAGCCCTTTCCAGCTTTCCAGCTAGAAACCACTTGCATCATTTAGCACACAAAGGCCGTTCTGCCATCTACAAAGCAAGTAGTATAGAAATATCTTAACCCTCCTGTGCCCCTATAAGAACTTTTAAGAACTCTCATGGTCATATTGACTCCAATTAATCTGAAAGGATCTCTTTCTGTTCAGATCATCTGGTTGGGAGACGAATTCTATTTTCAAACATAATTCTACTTTGTCAAATAATATACAAATTAATAGATTAGGATTGGCACATAGAATTATGCAAGGAAAGTACCATTATTCTGCCTACCACAGCTGGGAAATCAACGGTGAGACGAGAATTAACACTTTATTTTACTTAATTCTGGGAGCACAAGAGTGTGATAATCAATGTTTATCATAGCTGACTGGATTTAGAATCGACATGGAATGACATCTCTGGCTACATCTATGAGATGGTTTCCAGAAAGGCTTAAGTCGGAGGCTTCTCATTTCCCAGAAGATCAGGAACATCATTGCAGGGGCTAAAGTCATGCACTGAATGTAAAGGAGGACGAGATCAGAGCAGCTGCACCCAATTCTGTGCTCTCCCGATTGCAGAGATGATGCAACGACATACCTGATATTTCTACCACAACAGCTTTCCTTCCACAAGGACTGAACTCTCAACCTAAAGGTCTTTTGTTAAGTTGTTTTGCCAGATATTTTGCCCCAATAATGTAAAAACTAACTGTATAAATCAGAGATTATTTACAAAAAAAAACCAAAACAAACAAAAAACACCCAAAACTGTCAGGCATTTTAGAGGTTATCCTGAGAAATAGACAGCGAAGAAAATGGTAAATCTCAAAAACCAATAAAGATGAAGTTGAGGTTGCAGGCACTTAAGAAGCAAGTGAGAGTTGTATTTTGAAACCAAAGGCAAAAGTAAAGTGAGTAGCAGGATAATATTAGCAAGAAATAGGAGCTTGCATTCACATACATTAAAATAACATTAAAAACAGATTACACGTTAATTAGCAGCACTTTCCAAATTAGAATTTCATTTGTAAATATTTTGCTTCTCCTTTAATTTGCAGTTATATTATTTTAGATTCTAACCATGAGTCATTTTATGATCACATAGTGCTTAATAGAAATTGTTAGCAAGGTCATCCTGGACATCCCAGTAGTGTTTTACTTGGGGTCTCAAGAAATCCAGCATTGAACCTTTTACAGGGTAAACCAGGTAACTAGTGCCCTTAGAAAAGCTGATTACCTCATTCTTAAGCATGCCCTTTGCCTTGGCCCCCTGGGTTCTTAAAAGCCAATGACACAGCAGCTCTGGGTCTTTGAAGTGAGTGCCAGGTGGAGGGAAAAGCCCTAGTTTCCATTTTAGAGCTGGATCTCAGAGAATGATTCAGGTTTCAAATGAATATCACAACTCCTGAAAAAAATCACTGGCTGGAAAATAGGATCTGGAAATAGCAACCGCAGTAAAAGGAGATATGCTCTGGGGAATACGTGTCACTAAATTATTCAACATGTTAATTACACGTCCTTTCTCTGCCCAAGAGCCTACTAGAAAGCATCCTGTGATGATTTCTCTGTTTCTTAATGATCAAAGCTGCCAAAATAGGTAATTTCTCTGTTCTCTCCTATATGTTTCTGTGTGTGTGTGTGTACGTGTACGTGTGTGTGTGTGTGTGTGTGTGTGTGTGTACCTGTGTGTGTTAATTGAAGAAATGGAGTAATACCAGCTGAAATGTGAGATTTTCAAAGACAATGTGCTCTGATACATGAATATTCAGTGCTGAGAGCCAAAACCTAAAGAATTCAAAGGGCGTGTTGTGATCATCTTTTTCCATCTCCTGGAACAACAGGTCCCCGTGATTCATTGCTTTCTTGCTTAAGGAAATAGCACATGAACTGCTTCTCTTCTTATTTGTACTATTACTCTTCATTTCCTTATTCACTGCTACTTTGAGAACCCATCCATCCTCAAACGTGCAAGCTCATTTCCTTGACCTCACAGTCCACGAGTTGCCTTTCAACCCCATCACCCTTCTGTCGTTGGTACTTAGCCTACTTTTGATCAATAATGAAGGGCCATCCCTCTCGCAGCTCAAACTTCTGCTGCAGCTGCTTTTATTCCTGACATCATTAACATCATCAGTTACTTGATAATCTCTCCTTTGATTTCAAATATATTTATATTTAGTGTCCACTGTTCCTATTTCAATACGCTTTTTATAATGCGCTCAATTAATTAATAGAAATCATTCTATTTCATTGCCATGAGCAAGGCAACTCTTAAAAGAGAAAGTCTTTAATTGGAGGCTTGCTTACAGTTTTAGAGGATTAGCCCTTGATCATCATAGGAGAAAGAGACAGGTCTGTACTGGAGGAGCAGTTGCTGATGGCTTTACATCCTGATCTACACATAACAGGCACAGACAAAGAGAGACACTGGGCTTTGCATGGGATTTTGAAACTTCAGAGCTCACCCCAGTGATACACTTCCTCCAATAAGGCTACTCCCAATCTTTCTAATCTGTCCCAAACAGATCCATTCCCTAATGAGTAATCATTCAAATATGTAAGCCTATGGGAGCCATTCTCATTCAAACCCCTAGAGTTACCAAGTACACATTGTTCACATGCATCCAGCATAACTCCTACTGCTAATGATTCTTGCCTTTTTAGTGAATTCACTTACTTTTGAAAAAATTCTCACAATGTGACCAAGAATTACCAAGGTAAACTCTATATAATTATGCAACAACTCTGTTACTAAATATATGCAAATCACATAAAATTTGTAATTATAATCTTGAAGTTTCTGAAATCCTGAACTTTACCCAAACTAGAGTCTTGATATCTGCATTTGGATGTTGTAAGAACACTCATGAGTTCGGATTACCAGCTTCAGGTCTGGTGAGAAGTATTGTTCCTAATGAGATAAAATATACAGTGGTTGATCAGGACATATCATGTCCTCCTGTGGCTTCCACAAGTTCTTGCGTACGTGCACGTGTGCACATTCACACACCTACACACTCAGCACAAACATTTGCACAAGCTGTTTACGACATCACAGTCCTATTTCATTCTCTATGGTGTCACATTAGGAATTGATTGTATCTTCCTAATTATTTCTCAAGTCAGTTTCTCTACCTCCATTGTCACGGCCTTATCCCAGACTGTGTAGTTCCTTGACTGCTGTAGTCATACCCAATTAATTCTCCTCATGCCCAAACAGCATTAAATTTTATCTTCCTACTACAGTCCAATATTTACAAAATGCAAGGTAAGATATCACACCTCTAACCTACAAAGCTCTTTGCTCATAGTAACAAAACATTTAATAAAGTTTAAAATAAGGCCTTCGAAATGGACCCGAATTGTTTTATTTTTCTCCATCTTTTTGTTCCCTGCATTAGTCTTACTGTCCTGTACTTCTCCTTGAGTGTTTCCTCCTGATTTCATCTTCTCTACCACTTAACTTCTCACTTTCATCATAATTAAGTTCAATTATTATTATTTCAGAACAAATATCTCTGATATAGATAAATAAATGCCTGATTTGGAAGATTAATTTTACAACCATTTGGGTATCCAACTATGACATCTTTAATTTTATAGCCTTGCATGCATCTCGTATTAATTTCTAGCCTAATGAACAGTAATCTTACTAGTGATAAGGAACACAGTGAAAATGAATGAATTTCTTATTACTAACTTTGCCTACTAATTTCGTTTCTGATCTCATCCTGAAGTCTGCAAGTACTAGCTTGAATTTTGAGAGTGTGTTTAATAAAAGTAAAAGAGGTTCTTGAGGCCATTTTTGTGTGAGAAATATGCAACATTTGCTTTGGTTCAACAGAACTTTTGTTTGTGTTGTTTCAATTACTAGTGTTTTTAATTTCTGGCTCATATTACCTTAAGAAACAGAAGGACACTTCTGGAACTTGAGAGATGACCCAGGAGTTAGCAACATTTCTTGCTCTACCAGGGTAGAGTGTCAAACACCCACACGGAGTCACTCAACAACCATTTGCAATCCAGCTCCAGGGGATCAGATGCCCTCTTCTGGCCTCCACAGGTACCTTCACACATGTGGAGTATATACACAGAGCTACAGATACACACCTAAATAAAAGTAGAAACATATATTTGAAAACATTCCTTCTGTGGTTTCTTTTTCACTGATTAACCAGTTGTTCTAATGACTAGCCCTTCTTTGGTCCATATAAGCCTGGGAGCTTGAATGAATGCTGACTTCCGATCTACTTGATTTGAATGCTGTCATATGCTCAGCTCTTTTGCCATTGCTATATTTTCTGTCTGGATAGACTCCCTGAAATTTGGATACTCATTGAATATTCATGTCTTAGTTAAAAGAACAACAATTCTGTCATGTCATTTTATCTGCTGCTTTCACTGCAAGGAAATTTTGGTTGTGAATTTACTTTTAAACTTTTTTTTTCAAAGTTTATTAATTAAACTTTTTTTCTTAATGTTCACTCTTCAAATAATAGTTTTGCCAGGTGTTTTGGTTAGTAAGGACTGGGAATGGTTAGGAACTTTGCTTTATTTTATGCTTCCTGTCCTATAGATGTGAAATAACAGATAGTTATAAATATAAGACTTTGAAGATTGATACTCATACTTGGTATTTATACTATGATCATGCATATAAAAGTTCTTGGCGACTAAACTATATCTCAGATTTTTGTAGCAATTAAATGTTTTCAAACATTTTTACCTAAAATATTTCATCTTTTCAGTTACAGTTAGAAAGCCATAGATTATTAATATTATCTCACTATTTGAACCCCCAAAATAAACAGAGAAAACATTACTAGCTATAACTAACATCATATAGACATTACTGACAAGGAAGTAACAATCTTGTTTTTCTGATTTGAAGCCTAATAATTTTATAATTATAATAATTGTTTATTGGGAATTCCTTCAAATTAATTATAAAATACAAATACAGGGCTATTGTTTAAAAACACTCAAAATACTTATTTTTATTTATAAATCATTTGGGAATGTCTGGCTAGCATGGAGTGGTACTGTAAAGACAACGAAAGGAAAAGGAATGTTTATATTGGCAGGAAGATCCTCATAGCAGAAAATATAAAAAGAAAATACCTTTTGTTTTTCTGTGATCAGACACTATGACTCAGACTATGCATAGATGAGCTAACTCTTAGGTTTACAGTTTCAGAGGTTTAGAATCTATGACCACCGTAGTGGCACCAGGAGTTGGGCATGGTGCTGGAGCAGTAACTGAGAACTCATGAAATGTTATCTTAAAGTCTTGTACAATCATGTAATGCATGACAGTATCTAAGAAATTACCTGTATAAGTATATTTGCACCCACTAAGATAGTGGTCTGTCTGTTTCCTCCAGTTTTCAGCAGGAGACTTTATTCGCAGAGAAGCCTAAAGTATAACTCTACAAAGTAGAAACATGGCCCAAGGAATGTCCATTTATATTAAAAATCAAGGGATTATAAAGCACAGCAGGAGGTAAGGTGCACAATATGACTCTGTAATCAGTGCTATTGTCCTAGCCTTTGAGAACTGATTCCTAGGGAAGAACTGTGACACATAGGCTTTTCTGATACTTGTTTATTGTGGTCTTTGTGTGTTTGATTTTCATGATGAAGAATACATGTCATTTTTGAACTTGATTGTGAAAACTTCAAGGACTTTTAATTACTTATATATATCTAATTACATATATTTTTGTTTAAATATATATTAATATATTTTATATATGTACTAAATTTCTCTAACTTTTGTAAGTATGCATCACTTTTTTATCAGCTTACTTCACCATGATTTCAGTGGGAGGAGGTCTGCAAGCAGGGAAATTGAGACCCAATTTCTGATTTACCTAAATAAGCAATATAGTTTTAGAAAAACACTGACCTGAAATAACTAAGAAAAAGTTTCCTTGCATGGTTCTTTCCCCCAATAAGTGGTGAAAGCATGTGAAATTTATAATTTTAAAAAGAAGTAGCCAGCAAGTGCAAGAGTGGCCTGCTGGAGATTTCAATCACATTGTTAAGTCTGAGGCAAGTTCACACCTTGGAATAAAGTGTGAAAAGCATAGCATCCCAAATGGCTGAGATGTATTTAGAAAAACTGTAATCTAACAAAGTCAACTTAACAAACATAAATAACAATGTATGTGTCCCAGAACAGCACAATACATTTGTATACTATGTGGCATCAAAGTGTTAAAGGTTGAACAAACGTGGTTGGTCTAAAAGAAAAATAAACAACCGGAATGGAATTTGAAAAAAAAAAAAAAGATGTACAAAGAATTTGATGTTATGAATGGTGTTCCAACAGCTTTAAGGAAACCTTGGAATTAGCCTTGGAGTCAATCTATAACACAAAATGTTTCTAGATAATAGAATATTCATTTGGGTAAGAGAAGATATACCTACGGATATTTTCTATTGAGATGGGTTCACACAGTATGTTTGAATAAACCTATCAATATATGTCTATGAAAGCGTGAAAGGGAATAACTAAAAGAAGGAAACAGTCAGCATCGGGAGAGCAAGGATGGAGGACACTGGGGGAGAGAATGAACGAGAACAACGAATATGACATGGACATCTCCCAGTTATTTATCTATTGCTGTGATGAGATACTAAGGCAAAGACAACTTACAAAAAATAGGTTTTGGGCGGAGCATAACATGTCAGAGGATTACAGTCCATGATCATCATGGCAGAGAGCATGGTAGCAAGCCTGTAGGCATGATGCTGGAGCAGTATCTGGAAGCTTATATCTGATTCACAAGCATGAGGAAGAGTGAGGTAACTGGAAATCTTGTGAGCTTTTGAAACCTCAAGTTCCACTCCCAGTGATGCACCTCCCCCTACAAGGCCATGCTTTCTAATCCTTCCTTAACAGTTTCATCTATTTGTGACCAAGTATTCAAACTCATGAACCTATGGGGACTGTTCTCATTCAAACCACTATAGTAAATATAAAGTTGCCATGTAAAATCCATTACTTTATATGCTAACATATTTTAAAGGAAGTAATAAAAGGAAATGGTAAGCACATGGTTGATAGTGCATTAAAGATCTTAAAATATATACTAGCACATAAAAATATATCTGAACCACAAGGAGCCAAGTTTACAAACTTTGCTGAATCATACATATCTTGAAATTAGGAGACTATATCTTGTATCTCAGTTTCCTATAATAGAGTGCATACCTAATGCAAATTTTTGTGTATTGGTAAATAAATTAATGAATTTCCTCTAAAAATGTCCATTTTTGAATATAACAAGAAAATAATTCCTTTTTATAAAAACATATTTAGCTTCTGCCTATGAACAGTTTATTCCTAGACAGTACAATAGATCTTGCTTTCATTATTTTATAACTCTATGAAATAATTGAAATAGGGATTGCTCTCCACACTTCATAAAAAATAAATTAAAATGAAGTTCAGAGAAGTCAAGTGAGACAGCCAAGGTCATTTGGCTAAGAAGAAATGCTATTTTTGGCCAAGATGAAATTTATGTACCTATGTGAGTGCTTGCCAGTTTCCTCTGACAATACACAAATTATGATTTTTAGTATTTCTATCCTATATGCTTAATTTAAGCTTAGAGAATTTCAGTGTCTTTTTCAGACTCAGTGAGCCAGCACGCACGCACACACACACACACACACACACACACACACACACACACAAACCCACAACAACAAAGTTCATTTTCAAACTTGAATCTTCTGATTCTGATTCTACTGAATACTCTCTTGCCCTTAAAATCATTCTGATCTAAGAGGACAGTGAAGATGTCGCAAGGACTTGGAAATCTACCAAGTTGGAAGGCCAGTTTGTTTTCAGATAAAGTAACCTCTTTTGTGCCCCATCTGCTTGCAGAGTAGTTTGAGGGATTGAGAGCTACCCATTTGCAGAAACACACTGCATTTCTCCTTCAGACTTATGCTCTGTGTCCTCCAAAAATTCAAATCAATATGATGAACAAATGAATCATCTTCTGTCTTAGTCACTTGTACCTGTCACTTCAGAAGCACTTACCTCATCCCCTTCTCGCATTGCATTCTATGTGGCACAGGCACTGCTCAAAATAACTTCAGTTATTTTAAAACCTATTAGTAGAATCTACACAAGTCCAGCTATGAGATTTTCAAACAGTTTAATCTATACATAAATAGAAGGAAGAAAGTGAGAAGATCTTTATAATGTAGTGATTTTTCTGTGGGTTGATGTTTAACTGTTTTCTCTCTATATATTCATTTCTTCCATGTATACATGTATGTACCTGTTCTCATGTGTGGATGCACATGTGTGTCTGTTTGTAATATTCACACTGTTTTTCTTCCTTGATTATGCTCCATTTTTACACTGAGGAAATGTCCCCTGATAGTCTCAGAGCTCAATGATTCAGCTAGTTTGTTTGGCAAGCTTGTGTCTGGGTTCCCCTGTGTCTTCCTTCTCAACACTAAGATTTCAGGCTGGTTGCTATACCTACCTGGCTTTTATGCAGGTTTTGAACATCTTAACTCTAATCCTCAAATTTATTCTACATGTGCTCTACTTGCTGAACCACAATCCTAGTCCTCTTTTAAAGTAATTTCAACAGCCTGACACCCACAACGCTACAGCCCAAATAGGCCTCCTGTCTCAGCTCCCTAAATGTTGGAATGGCAGTTATAAGTGAACTTGCTTGGCATTTTCTTTTATAGGTTTTGAAAAGTCATTCACTTCCAGGATTTGCTTATCAACTGAAATTAGCATTTTTATGTGATTTTGCTATAAAAGTTAAAGAAATCAGAGAATTTGTGGCAGAGACACATTAAATGATGACTTGATCAATAGAACCTAAATAAATGCTGTAATTGAAATAATGCATATTCATATGGAAACAATATGGAGATAAGATTTAGCCAAAATACATACTGTATACTTTATTATAAACAAAAGTTTTGAGTATGTGTGTAATCTAGGAGCATTCATTCTCTCTCTCTCTCTCCTCTCAATGTGTGTGTGTGTGTGTGTGTGTGTGTGTATGTGATATGTGTTTGGTGCATGTACATATGTACCTGTGGAAGCCAAAGGAAGATGTCAGATA